GCTGTGAAGAGTCGCTCTTTTGACAGAGTCACCGTGAAGAGCTCCGCCGGCAACCCCACCCCATCGCCCGCCGTGAAAATACGGTCGTCCCGTCACAGAATCGCCGCTCCCAGCCCTTGGCTACCGCCCCTCGCCTCCGACAGGCACCTCACCACCGGCGCTACACACAGTGACTCCCTCAGCCGCCGCCCAGTCCCGCCGACCGCCTTGCCATTGCCGAGACTCTGCGCACACACACACACGCAGCGCCGCACAGACCACGGCCACTGCTCGTCCCCTCCGTCAGGCACCACACACCAGCGCACCACTTAGCGTCGCGAACTGCCACATCCCGGTCCCACCACCCACAGCCGCCGCGCACTATCATTGCCGCCTTCATCTGCCAACGAACTTATCCTATTTCCTTCTGCCGGCGAGTCATCTCCGGCACGCTCTCCGTCTCCCCGGCCTCCGACGAGGACCACGACGGCGAATAAATTACTAAATGAACAGGGCCATTTCAAAGGTTCCGAACAGATTGCAGCAAATCGGTCGAGGAGCAGGTTTGAAGAATTTGAGATGTGAGGAGGATCTATATGCAAATTAAGTTTTGTCTATTTTGTAAATTAAAAGTGTTTCAAGGACTTAATTGCACTTTTATATAACTTTGCATAATATATCAATTAAGCCCACATGCCAAAATCTATAATTATTGAAAATTTATAAAAAAATATGTTTTTCATATATTTTTGTTTATATATATAAAAATAATAACTTGTTATATAGAAACAATAAAAAAGTAAAATAATATAAAATAATAAATAAAAATATTGAATACTAAATAATTTAAAATATAAATATTATTATTTTAAACATAAAATAATATAAAATATAAAAAAAATACAATAATAAATATACTATTATAATAATAAATAATAAAAATATATTTTAATTATTTAGTTTACTTGGATGTACACTTATATCTATTAAAAATAGTTTTCGAATACACATAGTTTACATGAGATCGTATAAATTAATACACTCTATAATACAACACTTTGCACTTTATAAAACAACATGTCGCACTTTATAAAACAAAGGTTGGACCGTATAAAACAACAAGATACGCTTTATCATCGTACTCCACAACTATTATAATAATAAGTAATAAAATATTTTAATTATTTAGTTTACTTCGATGTACACTTATATTTATTAAAAATAGTTTTTGAATACACATAGTTTACATGGGCTCGTATAAATTAATACACTCTATAATACAACACTTTGCACTTTATAAAACAACATGTCGCACTTTATAGAACAAGACGTTGCACCGTATAAAACGACAAGATACACTTTATCGTACTCCACAACTAACGTCAATAGATCCCGCCAAAAAAATACTACACAACATAAATCTAATATATAAATCTAATGTTAACACTCATCACATCATTTATCCACACAAGACACATGATAACGTACAAAAAAATACAGTATTGCACTTTATACATCAACCGGTTGCACTTATAAACCATCACGTTGCACTTTACATAACAACGCACAATTACTACTATGGATTGCACAAAAAATATTGTAACCACCCGGACACAATTATTTTTTACCAATAATAATATAAAAATAATAAATAAAATTGTTAACATATTAAATATAATTTTAATATAAATAACACATTATTTCGGTTATTTATATTACTTGGATTAACCGAACCGAATAAACAATTTAATTGTGTACAAATTCAATTTGATTTGGGAAAAAAATTCGATAGGTTCAATATGCACAATATGGACCGTCACCATGCATCATAATGTTTGACATATTGCACCTTACTGTATGTTAGATTGCACATTATATTTCGTTTACATATTATATTATCTTTTTAATCAAATTAGATGTAATATGAAATATTAAATACCAAACATGAATTTATAATAAATAATATAATTTATTTCGAATATTTTGGTTATTTCAGTTAATTGACAAAAAAAATCCAGTTATGACGTTTCGGTTTTAGTGTCTTGGAATAAAAGTTTGTTCGGTTTGGTTTTTTTTCTTCGCCAATATTAGATCAATATTAACACTTTATTAATTTTGTGAACTTTTAAATGTGTAGAAATCGAGAAAACCATGATTTCGAAAAAATATGACTTTCTTTTTTAATGTGTATGTTATCACATGATAATGTGCAATTTATTTATCTTTATTGTGCATTAATTGAACTTTTATTTTATTACAAATTGGCCTCAAGTGTTAAATTGAAATAAAAGACACTTAGAGAAATTTCAATTGAGCCCCTACAAAATATCAAATTTCCAAACGAAAAACCCCACAAATCCAAAGACTCAATCACCAAGTCACCCCATCCACCTACGCTGGAGCTCAACCCCGGAGTTTCAGTCACCGTTGATGTCGTCAACCGCCGCCGTCTTCATCACCCAATACACCGCCATAGCCCGCCACTAGGCCCTCTACCGCTTCACTGTGCAAAAAACAAAAGAAAAAAAAATCGGCCATTTATCCTCATATAACTTCTCCGCCTTCGTGCAGATTACGGGAAGGATGACGGTGGAGACGCGGCTGAGGGAGCAGTGGTAAACGCTGCTGAATGTTTGCCGGTTGGTGTCGCCGGACGTCGCGACATTCTTCTCTCCGACGGATCTGAGCATCGAGGTCGGCAATTGAAAAGATATACGCGACGGCAACGATGAAGGTGGTGACGCGGTGGCGGCAGGCGAACAACCGGCGGGGAGAGAGGAGAGGATGGATAGAAAGTGAGAGAGAGGAGGGAGAAGAGAGAGAAGAGAGAAGGGAGGAGAGAGAAACGGGGGGAGAGAAAGAGAGAGGAGAGAGGGGAGAGGGGAGAGGAGAGAGGGGAGAGGAGAGAGAAACTTGATTGTATTTAAGAAGTGGGTCCCACTTATTTGGGTGTATAGTTAATTACATAAATGCCTTCAAGTGTATTTATTTAGTCATATATATTCATGTATTTACGATTTTGCCATTACTAAATTGACCATTGTTATTCAATTTTGACTTCATCATGTCCTTGATACACTTGATCTAGTGGTCCAGATTCATTCTTATTTCTTTCACTATCTATCATTCTCATATAATCCCTTATATATATATATATATATATATATATATATATATATATATATA